TGTCCTCTCCTGCTGATGTTCAGGTGTATATCAGTATGTAGTGTCTCTACTTTAAAGAGTCCTCTCCTGCTGATGTTCAGGTGTATATCAGTATGTAGTGTCTCTACTTTAAAGAGTCCTCTCCTGCTGATGTTCAGGTGTATATCAGTATGTAGTGTCTCTACTTTAAAGAGTCCTCTCCTGCTGATGTTCAGGTGTATATCAGTATGTAGTGTCTCTACTTTAAAGAGTCCTCTCCTGCTGATGTTCAGGTGTATATCAGTATGTAGTGTCTCTACTTTAAAGAGTCCTCTCCTGCTGATGTTCAGGTGGATATCAGTATGTAGTGTCTCTACTTTAAAGAGTCCTCTCCTGCTGATGTTCAGGTGTATATCAGTATGTAGTGTCTCTACTTTAAAGAGTCCTCTCCTGCTGATGTTCAGGTGTATATCAGTATGTAGTATCTCTACTTTAAAGAGTCCTCTCCTGCTGATGTTCAGGTGTATATCAGTATGTAGTGTCTCTGCTGGGACATGTCTCCATGCTTTAATATTCAAAAATCTCTTTATTTTTCTCGTACAACCTGTGTGCTGCAGCACCTCTTTTCACCCTCTGTCTGAAACCAAGGCCCAGTCCAAACAAATCAAAAGTATTTCTTAAAGTCAGTTTTAAATCATGTTAAACCACTAGTATAATGAATATATTTATTTGTAGACTGGACTTTTAAAGCTATTCCTGGTTGAGGTGGAACTCGTTTCAAATGCTTAATATACTTTTGGGTCATAAAATATAACTGAATTATATGAATCTTTACATAACATACATTTCTCAACACTTCGGAGGGAAAACAACATCTTGAGTAAAGTGTAATCAATGTAGAGGAGTGAAAAGTAGCTTGTTCCAAAGTAAAGAGCTATAGAAAATGCAGTCATGTTAAATATTGTACTTTGTAATCCACTACTTATGCCTGCGATGTGGCGGAGTATAAAGTCAAATTTAAAATACTCAAGCAAAGTACAAATAACTCAAATTGCTCTTAAAGGTCCCATGTCATGGCCATTTCTACTGATCATAATTCCATTGTTGAGGTCTACTAAAATAGATTTATATTGTGCAATTTTCCAAACTAACATTGGTTTCTCATACAGCATCTCTGTATGGTATGCATGTGTAGCCCAGTGTGCTCTGATTGGTTGGGACGTTGCGAGGCTCAGTGAGCTGGCTTACTGGTGTGGTTTCCGGGTCGGCGATACAGCGTGAAACTCATCCTGAGCACACACAAACAATAAGTGTGGCTTGATATTGAGTAAGAAAAAAGTTTTTAACGCTGTGAGAATGAGTCTGGAGAAATGCCAACTCGTCTATTACCAAACAGGGAGCTCTATGCAAGTCAATGGGACGCCCTGTTAGTTGAACATTTACGCTAAAGGTCCTGGTGTGTGAGGAGCTCCGCGGATTGGTCCATTTTGGTTCCTGGAACTGCATGACGTTCCCGGAAGAAACAAATGGAAAAAGAGAAATCCCCAACGAGGCGTTCTGGGGCAGCATAGACAGGTCTTCTCTGTGTTAGAGTTTTACTCACTACAGGGTGTACTTTGAGGGTTTTGACTCTGCAGACCGTTCACATGCAGAACAACCTTCATAACACACAAGGGGACGGGTGATAACAGGAAAAGCATGACATGGGACCTTTTAAGTAAATGTACTTTTCAAAGTTGTGTTTTGTGCAAAAATGATCAAATAAAATTCTGCAGTTTGATTTCCCACGGGCTCTTTTCAGTGAGATGTGACATTACTAGTAGATAGCTGAATAATCTATATTCAAAATCCTCTATAAATGTTCCGATATCCCTTTGCGCTAGGAAGAGATAAATCACAGCTTTCTGTTTCTGATAAAACTCTTTCTCGCTCTGAGGGTGTCAGAGGTGAGATCCTCCATCTGAAACTGTGTGATATGCTACCGGTGCATTTGCATAATATTTGCACATCCATTTCACACAGTATCACTCAGTGTGAGCCTGGACTCGCGCTTCAGGAGGACGCGTCACTGCGACACTGCTGCGTTATATATTTCCATCTCTGCGTGGGAGAGCCAGCGTCTCTGTTTATGAGCTCCAGCAGCCGCGGCCTTTTGGCCGCGGCTGCTGGAGCTCATAAACAGAGACGCTGGCTCTCCCACGCAGAGATGGAAATATATAACGCAGCAGTGTCGCAGTGACGCGTCCTCCTGAAGNTCCCCGCTCGCTCCATCATCTCTCTCATCTACGCAAAACAGGAAGTAAAACACATGGTTTTATATTCTTAGATCATCTTCATTCTTTGGATATGTTTGCAACACTGCCTCAGGCTACCACGATGATCTGCTAGGTTTCAAGACCTATGAATTTCACGATAGTGGAATTTTAAACAATCCAATACAAAGGGGCTTTATTGGCATGACCACATTGTAAACATAGTATTGCCAAAGCATTCCGCACAAGGCGTTATAACAGGACAAAGACAAAAAGACCCCGCCCGCCTCCCCCACCCCGTCCCCAGAACTACACATGCTGGCTATTGTGTGTTTTGAAACATGTTCTCTATCTATGGCACGTCTCTACTGGGAATTGTAGTTTAGACCCTCCAGAAAAACGCGATTCTGCGATCGCAGAATTTACCGCATAATCAGCAAAATGGCGCAGATTTCTAAAAGGCCGCATATTTATCAAAAGGCCGCATAATCCCCGCATTTTTCCACACAAAGTTGAGGGGGAAAAAAGTTAACTCGTCTTGACCTGACGTCATCAGCTCGCGCATCACAGAATGTAAACAACACTGTATAGAGTGAACGTGTGGAGCTCACACGATAGAGAAAACACCAAGATGAAAATATCTAATCCATCTCATTTACCGACGAACATTTCTACTAAAGACCGGGCAAAAAGTGGGGGGAAACTATTCTGCACCCCGTGCAACTGTGTGTTGGAACATAAGAGAAAATCGACGGTGACGACCCACTTTGATTCATTCAAACATTCGAAAATGCTTTCTGCTGCTGCGGACAAGAAAGCCAAACAACTCACGTTCACGAGGCATCAATCTCCAAAACCCTTTAGAGGGCTACAAGAAACGAAGTGAGTAGCCTACAAGATTGAAGCTGCAGATAACGAACGAGTAAATGAAAACAGAATGAGGCGGAGAAGTGTGTGTGTGTGTGTGTGTGCGTGCGATTAAAATAGCCCAATTGCTTTTACAATAAATAAACATTGAATGTGTTTAATTGAATAGTAAAGGGGTTTAACGTTAGTGGCAGGTTGTGTGTGAGAGAGAATAAATAAGACAGCCCAATATTTTAAAAAAAATCGATAATTTTTTCCCGCATATTTCGCAACTTCCTGCAGTTTCACCGCATAAAATCACATAAAATCAAATAAAACCCCGCATGTTTAATCGCATAATCAAGGAATTTTGCCCGCGTTTTTCTGGAGGGTCTAGTAATTTTAAAAGACGTTTTCGTATTTCCCTGTCAACCTCAACCTAGACCTCCAGTTCAAGCTTTCTATTCACACCAAATGTAATCTTGTAAATTCGCTCACGTCCATTGCAGACTCGTAGGAGGGCCAGTTCTGATCGTCCTCACCGACGATGAGCAGCAGAGGACACTGCAGTCGTCCCACCTGCTCAGAGACAAACAGCAGCAGATTGTATCATCGCCTGCTCAGCATTTATCTTTGGATGTTTGAGACTTTACTCAGAGCTACACATTTATCAGAGAACAAAATAATATAAATTCATTTCCTAGCTGTTAAGTTTAAAACAACTGTGATAATACATAGGCTAATGCAAACTCTTAACTACAAGAAACTGACAGATAAGTGTTAGAGAATAGCAAACTAACAACTTTCATAGTTCATTTTGTCTTAAAGGAAAAAAGCGGTTTAAAAAGGGCTTTTTAGACCAAAAAAACAAGCAAAAAATAATTAAAAGAAAAAAGTGTCTCAGGGGTCTGCTGGTACTGACGTCCACTTTGAGTGAGGGGTCTGTGGGGATGGGCAGCTGCAGATCTCTCCAGATCAGTTGGTTATCCTCGTCATAGTGAGCCTTCTCAACGTTGCTGATTTGAAAGAAAAGAAAAAAACGTTGTCTGAGGCTAGCTCCAAAGAAAGACCATCAAACGTTTAAGACCCACCTCTTTTTCCTCGCTTTCGAGTCAGTCTGAGCCGTACCTATCTGTACGCTTTATTGTCTGTCCATAGCCTTTATGTGTGCCTGGTATCTATTCTGGTGTGTGCCTCTTAACTATTCTTGTAATATTATATTTAGTTATAATGTTATGTTAGTTGTGAAGCACTTTGGCAAACCCTCTGTTCTTAAAATGTGCTATAGAAATAAAGTGGATTGGATAGGGTCATGAAAATGTAACGTACAGAAAGTCATAGAGATAACTGAAAGCAGATTAACGTACTTGTTAAAGTAAGTAATTATTTGTTCCAGAGGTCCGTCAATCGGCTGCACATGACTCCCATTGATACACACTGCACAGCTGAGCTGGGACCACACACACACACACACACACACACACACACACACACACACACACACACACACACACACACACACACACACACGCTGTGTGAGTACTTTGAAAATACTTACTTTGTACTTCCATTACTAATTACTGGGGGTGTAAACCTTTCGGTATCTCACCATTCAATTGTATTGTGCCAATTGGTAAGTTACATATAAAAATAGGGGAAAATAGAGTTTATGTTTGAAAAACACCATAGAAACCCTTAAAGCTGCGTCCAATATAATGAAAGTAACCGAGCTGGTCTTACCTTGAGAACTTTGGAGTAAACAGCCATTCTGAGGGTGACACCGGCGCCGAAGGAAAGACCCAACATGGCGATCCTGCTGCCGAGGATCTGAGGATGCTGCTCCAGGACTCTATAGGCCGTCTGCAGCAGGAAACGCGTCGATGTGATCAATAAAACCCCCACAAATGTCCCTACTTTTATCCACAAAAATGTAGAGTCAAAATGACGGGATTCACAGAAGGTTATAAAAGTTCATCTCCACTCTAGCTCTTAACATCCCATCCGATACCCACCCATTATAAAGTTGGTCTATAAAAAACCTATTTAGTTTACTAAAGTACAGAGTCTGGAAAAGCCTTTACAATTCAGATGTCTGTGTTTTTGACCTCTATTCCTTTGTGGAAAAAGCATGAAATCAGCGGGGCGGAAAAAGAACATTATTCCCAATCAATCCGCATGTTTATCTCGTGTAAACCTTGACACGAGAACACTATGTTCTCTGTAAAGGTTAATGAATTTTCTCGTAACACAATCATAGAAAAACAAACACAAAGATAACAGACTAAGATGAGCAAACACTTTTAACCCACATAACAAAGCTCACCGGGTTTACCTCAAAGTAATCATTATCCACCATTTTCCCAGTTCCCTTAGGTGTGAGGTAGTAGAGGGCCAGGGAGGCGATGCCGTGGGAGGCCAGCAGCGCTGCCCGGCACTCCACCAGCTTCCCTCCCCACCCCCAAAGGTCCAAGAGTCCGGGGAAAGGACCAGGTCCTTCAGACGAGTCAAGACACCAAAATAAATCAATAGCTCCATAATTATACATTGTTATATTGATACTTTAGACAACTGAACCATATTTGCTGATATCACAAAGTATTCAAGATCAAGAATTGATTAAATTGAGCGCCCTGCAATCCATAATATTGCGTTTTCCCGATGTTCTCTGGGATTCAATTTGACAAAAAAGTATTTCACTTTTCACTTGCTTATTTAAAACGTCACAAATAACTAATGCTGAATTTGGTTCATTTTCATTGTTAATGTTCTTCTATGTCACATAAATGTCACCCCTAAACTCCGCCCAGAGGACACCTCCCTTCAGAATCTCCCCAGGTCCTACCTGAGGGCAGGAAGAGGGTTGCAGTGAGTCTGCCCTCTGTTATCGGGACTCTACGGACGCCGGGAGCCATGTACCATCGCTCTACCACCACACTGGCCAGCAGCACCTGATCCAAGAAGCCCTCCGTCTGGTGACCCGGGTACACCGAGATTGTGACCCCAATGGGAGTCTGGACGTTCATCTTCCTCAACCTTGAAGAATAAGGGGAACGAGGTAACTCTAATGGTACGTTCACATCGGACACCGGATTAAAGCGATGCGAATATAATCGCTTGAGTTTCCCCGCGGCTTGAAGTTATGTTTACTAGCGTCATTCAAACAAGTAGGCAGACGAAAACACTTTTATAATGTGCTTCGGATATCGATCGATAAGACTAATCTAACATGTAGCTGCTCCGTCCACACTCACAACAATGTCATACAGACAGAAATAAAGCAGCGACTGTATTCACCATGACACAGACAGTCTGTGGTTTGTACATGTATAACTTTTCTCCAGTTTATGAACAGATATGAGGAGCTGTGAGCTCTGTGTGCTAACAGTTAACGGCTGATGTTTTGGTTATCTGATTCAGCGTCAGTGACGGCAGGCCACTGGCTAAACCCTATAATTCCACTGTCTTTTTTTTTGCAAATATAGTAAGTTCTAGTATTAGACATCCAGCGGTCTTCGTTTTACGCATTGTTACATACGGGCATATGCTGTGTCGGGGTCCCGATTCGGACGAAGTTGCAGTGCCGGTTGAATTCTAGTTATAAGTTTGTATGTCAAGATCTACCATGTCGACTTCGCAAACCGAAACTTGTCCCAAACGTCCTCCCGGTGCCATCCGAGAACGGAAAGTTCGTCTTGTCCGGTTGTTCGCCCTCACAAAATGCGACAAGCCGCATTACGTTCATGTTGCAGGACCTGTTGAGACATCAAGGATAAGTCGTGAACCATTGTTGTAGCAAAAAAGTCTGTGCATTTGGAAGTCTTTAGTGGTCACCGCCAGTGACGACTACTTAATTACAGCCAATCCTTGTTTGCTACTAGGCAGAAGAAAGTTACCACAGAGTTTTGTGTCTGGAATAAACCTCGATAAAAAAAGGTTTTAGGGATACCCTCTTTACGTAACGAAAATAGCTTCCTTGACCTGCACCCATTTTTTACGATTGAATGAAGGCCAAAATCCTGCGCAGTGACGCCAAGAGATAAGGCTAGAGTCGACTTGCTCGGAGGAAGACAGAGAGACCATCTTTCTCGTCGGCAGTATATGTAAAGCCTTGGTATCAAACACAGTCGTATAGAACCTACCTTTTATTAGTAAATAAATTTCATTTAATTGAAGGTATTTTTCCACATCCCCGACCTAAATTTACTTACGGAATACCACGCAAGTGTGGCTTCTGCTCTAACTGCGCTGAACGCGGATGCGCTCTCAATGTAAAACAGGTGACTCGCAGTTTAGTGCACCGTGTAAAGAGCGCGTGTAGAGCGCAATCGGTTAGTCGCNNGTGTGTGTGTGTGTGTGTGTGTGTGTGTGTTTGTGTGTGTGTGTGTGTGTGTGTGTGTGTGTGAGATAGTGTGTGCATGTGTGTGTGTGTGTGTGTGTGTGTGTGTGTGTGTGTGTGTGTGTGTGTGTGTGTGTGTGTGTGTGTGTGTGTGTGTGTGTGGTAGCTGTGTTTCTCCGCGAGGGGGCGTCCTTCCTCCATCTCTGCCTCCACCTCTGACAGTCTGTGTGATGAAGCTTATTAACTTCATCTGTAACTGCACGATTTGCAAACACGCGCTTCTTCCTCGGACGCGTTTTCCCCTCCGTCAGGATGAGCATCACTCTGCCCCCCAATACTCAGACCTGTGACCGGGGAACTTGATGAGACCCTCAGACCCCCCCCTCAGTTTGGACTCAACGGGCGTGATGAGCCTCCCGTGATTCCTGTGACGCAGGACCACCGCGCCGCACCGCACCGCGCCGCAACGCGCACTTTGGAGAACTGCAAGAAGCGGTAAAAAAAAAGAAGAGATGCGCCTGCGTTACTTCGCTCTACTGTACGCACTCGTGTAAGGATTCCTTCACGGTGGGGAGAACGCTGATCTGAGAGCGACCAGAGTGAGGAGAGGGCTCCGGAGCGTCATCCCCGGCTGGAATCGAACCGACGCCTGCAAGTGATCCGGAGGAGCGGCAACAAAACCGGCTGTTTTAAAGGAATTTACCGCCTCTGCCAGGATTAGGATCCGAAAGCAACTGTGATCCAACTGAGAGAACAGAAAAAAGTGGATTAAATATATGCATGTTTTTTTTTCTTCTGGTTGATGGATGTGGAGGAATTTAGAGGATGTGTGATATGACACACAGCTGGAGACAGAACATATCTTTCTGACCTGTGACACCGAGAAGAAACACCTGCTCCTGGAGAGAAGAGGTACCTGAACACATCACCATTTATGTATTAATGACTAATGAAAACTGACTGCACGTTATTTAAATAGTATGTATGTGTTTATTCTTGGTCTCTTGGGATTGGATCATGTGGGGAATAAGATCTCTCACTTTGGCATCTTTCAGATTATGGTTTTATAAATACACCAGTGTAATCAATCAATCAATAATATATCCATCAGCACCCATCAGTCAATATGGAGGCTCTCAGCCTGCTGGGTGTTGGTGTGTTTTTCATCAAGTTTCACATCAGATTCATTGTTTCTGATATCAGCTGTTAGTGCGCACTTATGAGGGTGGATCTGTGTCCGTGTGCGCGCAGGTGTGTGTGTGCGCGCAGGTGTGTGTGTGTGTGTGCGTATGTTTTCCGTGTGTGAAAATGGCTCGAAAATGGGGTGCGTTTGCGAGAGCCACAAATTGCAACTTGCAAGTGTGTGTGTGTGTGTGTGTGTGTGTGTGTGTGTGTGTGTGTGTGTGTGTGTGTGTGTGTGTGTGTGTGTGTGTGTGTGTGTGTGTGTGTGTGTGTGTGTGTGTGTGTATGCATGCAGTGGTGGAATGGTGGACTATAACTATAGTACATTTACTCAAGTACCATATTTTGGTTCCACATTAAGAAAGTAAAACCTGGATGGAAATACTCATAGAACAGTTTAATATTCCATAATAATCAAAAATATGAAAATGTACATTCTGCTTACTTTTACTTCATAATGAAATACAATATGCAGATGATAATACTGCTATACTTCTACTTACTGTAATTAGCGTTTCAAATACATGGAATGTACTGGAATATTTTAGGCTATTGTATTTCTACTTTTACTTAAGTAAAGGATCGTAGTACTTCTTCCACCTGTTCGTGTGTGTGTTCCATACTTATAAGTATTAAAATGCATATATTTGTTAGTGACAAAAACAGGATGGTGTAATATTCCATTGTATGATCAAACTGTAAAAAGAGCCATTCTGCTCACTGAGTACTTTTACTTTGATACTTTAGGTACATTATTCATATCATAATACTTCGGTGAGTCTACATTTGAATACAGGAATTTGACTTGAAATTGAATATTTTCAAATATAGTATTACTTTTACTTGAGTAAAGCATCTTAGTAGGCTACTTCTTCCTCGTGTGTGTGTGTGTGTGTGTGTGTGTGTGTGTGTGTGTGTGTGTGTGTGTGTGTGTGTGTGTGTGTGTGTGTGTGTGTGTGTGTGTGTGTGTGTGTGTGTGTGTAGTGTGTGTGTGTGTAGTAGTAGTACGTAGTACGT